AAATTATGTCTTTAAGATTCCAAGAGTGCAGTGGATCGCTTGATTAGGGGTGGCAATGGACTTGGACCCGGACCCGAGGGGTTGAACCGATCCGGTCCAAGTATGGATCCAAAAATTAGACCAGGCACGTCAGGTCCGGGTGGAACAATATTCAGGTAAGGGACTGGACCTGGATCCGACCCGTTGCCAACCCACGCTTGATTTGACCCCATACTAAAGCTTCAACCATGGACAAGTTAGTTGGGTTGAATATTCTTACTAAGTGTTAGGTCACTAGCTTGAAAACAAGATGAATGGCAAATAGAATTGAAAAATAGAAGGAAGAGCCATGAGTCAAGCAATAGAACCAGCTCATCCAACTCTTTTGTTTCAATGGTGGATAAGCTAAGAATAGAAACCAATAACATGCAACCACCAAGTCAAGAAATTGAGCTCCTAATCCATCTTTTCAACTGGCCAATTTGATCAAATTTCCCACTTCAATATTCAAAGAAGGAAAAACCCTTCCAAGCTATCTAGATTTCATGAAATGGATGGTACACGGGCAATTGAGCTCCTAATCCATCTTTTCAACTGGCCAATTTGATCAAATTTCCCACTTCAATATTCAAAGAAGGAAAAACCCTTCCAAGCTATCTACATTTCATGAAATGGATGGTACACGGGCCATACTTGAATCTAGTGTTTAAAAAAGCAAACTCCGGCTTGTAACTGCCAGGGCGCAAACTCGAGCTCGAGATCACCAGGGCCCTGAGCTCGAGTTGGACAACTCTCTCTGGAATCACTAGATCTTGAGCTAGCTTGAGTCTGCTAGGTGATTTTTGAATCAGCGCTTGAATCTATAGTTACCAGTGAAAAAACCAAGTTCTTTAGAGCACTTCGGCAGTAGGATTCGAACTTGGGATATAAAACACTGAAACGACTTAAGACCAAATCTGCCTTTTACATGTATCTAAAAAACTGCAATTCAAACCTATAATGCCTCAAATCATGGCCAGATTGATAAGAAATGGGTTGGAGATTACGAGCCCATCCTTAGCTGACCAGCCGATAATAGGGTAGGGGTCCGACGGTCCGAGCCTTGTTGAAGTCTGATTGGCTCAGGGTGGCCATGGGCCCATTGCTATTCCTACATAGTGAAACTGCTCTGTCTCACTGGGATACTCACAGAGGAAGGAGTTCATATGGAAAGAAGGTGAATACTTCTAATCTAAAACCCACCTGCACGGTTTAATGCCATACGGGTGAAATTATTAAGATGTGAATCCTTGTTCTTTGTCAACAACTTGTACAGAGATACCAAATACTTCCTAATATATTGAGAAAAAAACACTTAGCATTTTCTTTTCTCAACCATTTAAGCCATTATAAACTGTTGCATTTTTTTTAACTGTTTTTTAATTATTTCCTATTTATAGCATCCCCTTATACCAATGGTTCCAAGATTTTAAATTATGATTTTTTTACTTTGAAACTAATAATAATAACTTAAAATGAAAATATTGAAATCTTGAGGTAAGACAATATTTTGGACTCCTACTTTCTCTAAACATGACATAGAGAATCCAGGAATTCGTTAGAATTTAAGGATAAAAATTGAGAATAAATAACTTAAAATGAAAATATTGAAATCTTGAGGTAAGACACAATATTTTGGGCTCCTACTTTCTCTAAACTTGACTTAGAGAATCCAGGAATTCGTTAGAATTTAAGGAAAAAAATTGAGAATAAATAAGGATAGAGAGAACAAAAAAACTTTAAATTTCCTTACTCCTCTTAGCGAGAGATCTTAAGAAATTTAGATAGAAAATGAAATCTTGGTGAGCAATTCAAAAGTTAAACTCCTATTTATTCTCCCCTTGGATGTGAGTATATATTTTTACTCTCTTTGGAGTTTTCAAAATCTGCTGGTGAAAATTGAAATACAGGGATTGTACGTCCAATGGAGATCGTGAATTTTGTCCATTCTAGATATGTAGCATATCATAGTGTTAACAATAAAAAAAGGAAAAATTTTATCTGCCCAAAACAATCAAATTAATGCACACATCAAAAATTCACTAGTCATCTTGACCTCAAGATGTATGGACATGAAAAAAGTTAAATTTCAAGTCTTGAAAACAGTGTATTTTGGGATGTATTATATAGACAGTCAATTTTCAAGATGTTCAAGAGTTCATAGATCTACTTGATCTATACTATTCTTAAATCTTTAAATTTTATAATTAAAAATAAAAATAAATTTTCAGGCCATCTTAACGATTTTTATAGTGAAACAACATTTTTTGATACTATTTAAAAGTGCACTTATTTTTTACTGGCCTCAACCTTATACAAACCAACAGCCATAAAAACAAGTATGAAAGCAATATAGTGCACGAGTCTTTGGTGCACCTAATAAACAAAATCATCGAAGTGTGGGGACACGAGGAAATGTGACACTATTATTTTAAGTTCCTCATGGCAAACCACTCTTCTCACTCTAGATGAGCCCAGTAACAGTGACAGGGGCTGCAATGGGTGAAGTGGCTCGGTAGGTCCAGGTAATGAAATTTGGCTCGAGTACTGGGTCTCTATTAGAGACCTACAGTCTAGGCCGGCCAGATTGCAGCCCAAACTCAAGAACAGGGTCAACTTGGGCTAGGGCCCTTTGGCCTAGTTTGGTCTAGGCTGGTCCCAAGTTTGGCATTACTTGGGCTCTGGGCCCAAGTTTAGCATTACTTGGGCTCTGGGCCCAAGTTTGGCATCACTTGGGTGGCTGAGCCTAGGCCCAGCCCTTTGCAGCCATGACATAGTCACCTAACTCGAAAAAAGTCTAGAAAGATTAAAGTGAAAATGTCCTATGCTCTTGGGGAGCATGTTATAAATATACTCTTTCAACAGAGAGACCTATTTTTTTTTATTTTTTAATTTTTTTGACAAAATTGAAAGACCCACTTAAAAGGGTTTTTTTAACCTAGAATTTTGAGAACCACCTAAGGATATAAATGGTTATTTTCAGAAAAAAAAGATTTTAAAGCTTTCTAATACTTAGATATCACCTTAAAAAATTGGCCCCGTCTCTATTCAATTTTCATGCATTAATTTTTGGAAAAAGTTTATAGAGAGCCGAGGCTCTAAACGATCAAATTTGAGCCTACCTCCAAATTTTCACTAGAAGAGGTTGTTTTGATGTTCAAATATGTTCAAATTGATCATCTCGACATCAAGATTCATGGACATGAGAAAAAAAATGGATTGCAAGTTTTGAAAATAGTACGATTTGTAACGCATTTTTGGACCGTTAATTTTTCAAGATTTTCAAGTTGTCATAGATATGTCGATCTACTCTATTTTTGAAATTTTAAACTTTATAAATAATTATGAAACTATATTTTAATGCTATCACAACGATTTTCAATATTGAAACCCAGTGTTTTAAAAAACGCTGAGTTGAACCGGACTCGCCCGGTTCGACTCAAAAATCGTAAAAGTGGATCGAATCGGCTGAAAAATCGGAAATCGTCTGGTTCTAAAGAGAACCGGACGATTCTGTACAGTGACTCGCCGATTCACTGTACGGAATCGGCGAGTCGGAACAGTGAATCCGCGAGTCCGTACGGTTTTTTTTTTTTT